GTGCAGTTTTTACTCTGACAGCCCACCACCTGTCTCGAAACAGCTCCTTGCGCTGCAGCTTTCCTATCCAGCATCTAGACCTGGAGAAACTCACTCGCTACAATGTTTGCAGTAGGACAAATGCACATAGATTTTCAGGGTGGCATTTCCCAGGCAAGCTTTAATAAAGAAACCAGGATCTAAGAAGAGGCGCTCTTAAAGCGGTCACAGGACTACCCAAATCAAACCGAGAGGCTTCACGGATAAGGGATCCATGCTTACTGTCAGCCCTGAGAGGTCCTAGGCCCAGTTGTCCTGCTGAGGTCCACATCACATCCACCTTAGGAGGTCCCTGGGTGGTGTAACTTGATCTGAGAAGACGCCCCTCAGGCCCGTGGCGTAGCCCGAGGCTTTGTAAAGTGTGTAAGGACACACCCTGAGGGACGAATGCCGCGGACTAGTACCCTTAGGACGCAGCAGGCCCTGGCCCCGCCCCACCCATAACCCGCCCCACACAGACCGGAGGCTGTCAGAGGGGGGACGGAAGTGACTTCCCCCGAAGTCCATTTTGAGGAGTCGTGGCAAAGTGAAGACGTTGTTCCGAGGCGGGTGAACTCAGGTAAGCAAAAGGAGTTGGCTAGGCGTCAAAATATGATGCTGAGGACCCAGAAGGTCCAGAGTATCCGTGTCTCTTGTGGGCCCTCGAAAGGCCTAGAATAACTTTCGAATGAGGCCCTCCGTGCTTCCGCCTTGGGCATCTGAGAGTTAAAGCTTGGTCCGAGGAAGGCCTCAGAGTATATGTGAGACTCATGAGCCCCTGACTTCCTCATCCAGAGTCTGAGGAAGATGAAGACCTTGGTCTCAGGGAGGTGACATCAGTTCATCATAGGGAGGAGTAAGAGGGTCCAGGTTTAACCTGATGAAGCGTTCTCTCTCTTGCACCTCTGGGGTTTCAGTGCAGTGATGTTCTTGATCCTTTGGCGTTACATAAGCTCAAGTCACAAGAGTGGTCATCCCAGGCCCTGCCAAGAGTAAAGATGAGGACTCTGAGTGTCATCTGAAGGGTTCACCCATCCCAGACAGAGGGGCCCCCAGAGCTCTGACACTCCTGTCAGCCTTGTGGAGTTGGATGGACAATGAGATGTAGCCTTACTTACTTCTTAGGAGCTCCGGTGGCATAGTGTCTAAGGCATTTGACTGCTAACCAGAAGGCTGGAGGTTCAAACCCACCAGCCACTCCTTGTTGTTAGGAGCCATTGCTGGGTTCTGAGTCATAGTGGCCCCTATGTACAACAGAATGAAACACTGAACGATTAAAAAAAAAAAAAAGAGGCAGGGGAACACTAGGGGTGCAGATGGAAGATTGGGCAATCTACTTACATGGTGATACTACCTTCAAAACCCAAGGAGGGGTCACTATGGGTTGGATGCGACTCAATGGCAGCATATTGCATTTTGTTTGCGTTACTTCCTTCTTGGGTGTCTCGAGAGAGGCAAGCCTTTGATTGGCCACTCTGATATCAAGTAGCAGGTGGCAGAAGACCTAGCTCCAAATAGTATCCAATATGAGAACCCTATGTGAGGACTGAGGACACCCACCCAAAGGCAGAAAGCAACCATAGAACCTCATTCTACTGTCAGCTTTAGGAGTCCCTGGGAAGGGTTGTCAGGCTGCTACCCCTCACTTCTACCTGCAGGTCTCAGAGAGGTTAAGGTTTGTTTCTTTCTTTTGTATTTGTTTTTGTTTTTGCGTTGGTGACATCAGTCAGCAGAAGGAGAAGTACCAGGCCCTGCCAGGAGTCAAGGTAAGGTCCCTGAGATGTTTGCTGAGACAACTCACCCCAGAAATTTTGGGCCCCATTTTGGGGCCCACTAAGAGTCCTAGGAGGAGCTCTAGTAGCATAGTGCCTAAGGTACTTGACTGCTAACCAGAAGGGTGGTGGTTCAAACCTACCAGCCACTCCTCGGAAGGAAGTTTGGGCAATCTACTTCTGTAGCGATACTGCCTCGGAAACCCAAAGAGGGGTTGCAATGAGTTGGGTCTGACTCGATGTTAAATAACAACAACAAGGGTCCTGGGAAAACTCTGAGCATGTGTGTCCGGATGAGTAGACCCTAGCTCACGGAGATGAGTCGTTACTGTGTGTGGGCCACTTCAGGAGCAGAAGGATGAGTCCCAAACCCTGCTAGGAGTCAGAATGAGGACCCTGAGTATGTACAGTGTGGATCACCCACTCCAGAACAAGGGGAACCACACAGAGGTGCACACTGCTCCTGTGGTCAGCCCTAGGACGGGTGGCCATAAGTAGCACACCTTTACCTAATTTGGTAGGGTATTAGAGAGGTTTAGGCATTGGGTTCGGGTGAGCTACTTCATGTCAGCAGAGGTGAGGGTACCCCGACTGTGGCAGGAATCCAAATGAAAATCTAGAGTGAACATTTATAGTGCAACTCACCCGAGGACAAAGAGGAAAAAGGCCCTACTAGAAGCCAAGGTACAAACCTAGAGTGGTCAAACTTTGCCAGAACAGAGGCATTCCCAGAACTGCCCATGCCTTTGCTATTAGCCTGGGGAATGCTGCTTTGCCTATAACTTTCTTCTCTGAAGGCTCATAGAGGTGAGGGCTGAGTCTGAGGTTGCAACCTTATATCAGGCACTTACTCCAGGACAGAGGATACCTCTTTGAGATTTGACCATGTTTTCTGCCCTTGAAATCCCCAGGTGGGGTATCCAAATGATGTGCCATCTCATTTCCACTCTGTGTGTTAAGGAGATGAGGCCTTGGTTTTAGGGTGGCAGCCTTCAGTCAACAGAGGGAGTCCGGGCTCCAGAAGCCAAGGTAATGACCATCATTGAAGATTTAGGGATCTACCACCTCAGAACAGAGGGAGCTCCACATAGTATTACCCAATGCTTGGTGTCAGCACTATGTGGTATCTGGGTAAGCTGTTAGCCTGAGCCTCCTTCCTTTCCTCCTCAGGTGTCTCAGGGAAGTGAGGTCTTTGTCTGACTAAGTCAGTCATAGATAAACAGAGGGAGGAGGCCCAAGCACTGCCAGGAGTCAAGATGAGGGTATCCCACAGATCCCAAGCCCATTTGCCTGCTCTCAGCCCTGGAAAGCTTTGGGCTGGGCTGGCAGCTATACCCTGAAAATCCTTCTCACTTCCTCTTTCAAGTTCTTAAGTTACAGGCTGGCCGGAATTACTGGAGACCTGTGAGGCCTTAGAGCATGTTCTTGAGGAAAAAGATAGGTAGAGGCAGCCACTGCCAGACTCTATGGTTGAATTTACAAACTGAGATTGCTCACATCCTTTTCATTCTTTAGGTGTGGCACCCCATTGTTTGCCCTTCTGACAACATTTCTCTCGGTCAACTACAAGAGTGAAAATGTCTCAGGGCCAGGAAATACTATACTACATATGTGTTGAAAACCTTGAATCCTCTAGTGAGAGCCAGGATGGGGAGGAAGCAGAGTTTCTTGTGGCTTCAGAAGAGGCTTCAGCTGCTGAAATAATCAGTAGTTCCCAAGATCCTGAGGAGGCCACATGCCCTTCCACTGCCATCACAGAAATCTTGCTGAGCAAATCAGATGAGTTCTTCAGCATCCAAGAAGAAGAGCCAGGTCCAAGCACTTTGCAGTCCATGCTGGGTCCTGCTCAGTTGTCCAGAGGTCCTGTAGCTGACAAGGTGGCTTTGTTGGTGAGATTCCTGCTGCATAAGTATCATGTGAAAGAGGTAGTCACTAAGGAACTCATGATGAATATGGTTACTAGACAGTATGAGGATCACTTTTCTAAGATCTTCAGTATGGCTTCTGAGCGCCTGGAGCTGGTCTTTGGCATTGACATGATAGAACTGTATCCCGACAGCCAGTGCTATGTCCTCTTCAATAAGCTGGGTATCACCTATGATGGGATGGTGAATGATGATACAAGTTCACCCAAGACTGGCCTCCTGATTATTATCTTGGGTGTGATTTTCATGAAGGGAAGCCGCACCACTGAGGAAGAGATCTGGAAAGTGCTAAATAGGATGGGCATATATTCTGAGAAGTATCACTTCATGTATGGGGATTCCAGGAAGTT